TGGTGACAATGTCATTTCCTGAAAAATCTGATGTTACTTGCCCACACAGTCATTGCTAATTCTACCCCAGCGCTAAAGTGGTTCAGGACTACATAAGATTCTTTCGACCCTCTACTGCTAAAGACCGAGCTGTGCCCTTTGTAAGGCAACTCCCCAACCTGGAGCGCTTGCATGACAAGCTCACGCTACAGAAAGCCAACACACAATATCTCTCTTATGGTGGCCAACCGAGCACCATAGCCACACTTCAGGAACATGGTTTTGCAATCTATTTTAGGCCTTTGTTTTCAAATTTAACAACAGCCCGGCGACATCATCCCAAGAATGGAATCGTTTTGAACATGTGCGGGAACAGTGACAAAAAAGGAAATACAATTGCCAGGGATATGCATGGGGGTGGATTTGTTTCTCTTGTTTGGTTTTCCTTGAGGGTGCAACAATCCTAGGCCGCGAATGTCTCTCTTAATGCCTGCTCCTGTCATCTGAAGTTGTTTCTTTGAAACATCACGTGGATGAAAAGAGGAAAATGTATGAAAATGTGGCCATGCTGTCTAAGAACGCAGAACTGATACAAACATGCCCCACATGGTACTAGGTTCCAGTGTTGCCAGTCAACACAATTTCTGTTTTGAAGTTCGTAGCGGCCTGGGATTGCTCAAAAACCTGGTTTTTGCAGTGCATTTGACGAGCCCCTCAAACTACAGGTTACAAAGTAAAAAACCAGGTTTTCGACGAAAAACCTTGATTTTGCCCATAGGGCGAGGCCCATGGATGTTAATATGATTATATCAAATTATATCAATATCTGAACTTATGTTAGTATGGTATGATTATATCATATTAGTACAATTCTTACCGAAGTTATACCCATTTTTTCACCCCAGCTGCGGCCTGGAGTAGCTTGGCAAGTGCCCATCAGGGGGCGCATCACTTTGGTAGCGGATCACGTGACGGAGTTCTACGGTTGTTCCGGTCGCGTGCTTAGAAGTCCATTGGCAAACGTTCCGGCCAATTGCCGGGCAACCTTTTTGTGTTTCGTTACTTTATTTTGACTTAGTTTGTCATTGCTTACGATGCTTACGGTTCAGGAATTTCCAAAACTTTGAAGATTGGGAACTACCTGTGAAAAACGGAAAAACCAGTGGCACTGCAGTCGTGGCTTTAGTAGACGTGTCCACTTCCAACTGATCAGTTAACTGTAACTTCCACCATAAAGCCTGCCCGACTTTCCAGTGACAGTCTGTTGCATCGGATAGATGATTTGCCAACCACATCAGTTCTTAGCGGGATGAAATCATTTGTTCGGAAACGCTTGACAGGAACCAAAACTACAACTCAAACTAAAATACTCATAATAATTCATAATACTCATAATAATGATATAATGCACCTGAATCCTTTTGAACCTTTCACACAACTGCGAACCGTGAACCGTAAGATACATCAAACACTTACAAACATGTAGGGAACACGCGCCAGGGTTGCACAACACGCGAATCGAAACCATCCTGGACCCAAATCCATCCAAATCCTAGGATCTGTTGATTTGTTTCGTAGACGGTCATCCCAGGTAGTGGTCTTGCCACGGCCAGCGCAGGAAGTGATGTCCAAAAACCTGATGGGTTTTTCGATGCCTGTTTCTTGCAGAAAAGTGCTGCTTTTCCTGCTGATTTCAAGAAATCTCCTGCAACTTTCCAGCAGCTTGGACTGTAACTATCTTGGACTTGGATTGTGGTTGTTGTACAAGCATTTCTGCATGTAGTTTCACTTATTCATGATGAAACTAAGATGAAGTTCATGCTTGGATAGTAGCAGTTTTAACTTTCGTTTCAGAGGTTTCACGGCAAGGAGCATGTTTCACTTCTAAAAGCATTAAACATCCAGTTACAGTTGTTTTCTTCACACGTCATGGTGCCACGACCTCGTGAACCTGGTGTTGATTTGTGTTGCTCATTTGATTTGCGATCACGCACTTGTCTCAACATGTTCCAAAGATTTGACCTTCGCGTGAGACTGGTTCTGTGGGGTTACAAGGCCAATAATGAATTTCAGTCGTTTGAAGTATTTTCAAGCTGTTTGCCCGTGTGATCAAAGTAATTTTCAGATCGAATATAGATTTAAAATCCTCCTCCGGTGCTCCAAAATAAACCAAGAGGCTCCCACAGAGTCCATTTCTATTTTATTTTGGCCTTTTTTTTCCAAAATAAAATGGGCTTGGGTACCTGAAGTCCCCAGCCTAGGTAGCCTCATTTGGGGATAAGTAAGTTTGGTACCTATGATTTTATTTTGGATATACTGGTTGACCCCCCTGGGGACAAATGCAGCTAAGCAGGTAGGGTACCCATGATTTTATTTCGAGCCAGGTGTTTTGTTCATTTTGGGCACCCCAAAAATAGCACATTGTGAACAATTCTTCATATAATATAATGTATAAATAAATGAATGCTATAAATAAATTAATATGTTATATATATATACATTATCATAACCAAAAATGATTACCATATTATTAGTATAAAATGTTACTATATATGTAATAAATTAATATGATATCTATATCTATTATATATTATTTTATACAGAAAAACAATGATAGACCTAACCCAGCATCACAACAGACTAACTGCGCCTCTGGTGGGTCCCCGAGATTCCCCGTTGCTGGATCTCTCGGGGTAACACCAACGGGTAACACGACGGGTCGAACGGGCACAACGGGGGAACGAACGGCCCTTGGGGAAACGATGCGAAATGAGAAAAATGTCACTGAAAATCATGGGGAAACATGGGGGAAACATGGGGAAACCAGAAAAAAACTTTACGAAAATAATGATGACATATGATGACAGAAAGAAAAGCATATGATTTATCAGAAAGAAAAATAACAATAAAACAATGAATAAAAATTGTGAAAAGTGAGAAAACACAATGTCACTACAACCGGGAACGGCAGGGAACAGGAAACAAAATGGAAAACCAAAAATGAACAAGTGAAAACACGTCATATTCATATTTTTTCACAACAATCTGCATTTTATGAACAAGACTTGTTGGATAATGATGAAAATGGCTTTTGGTATTTTGATGCTTGGTCTGTACGATTTGCAAGTGCGCAGAGTGCTTCGATATGATCAAAATCAAGATGAAAGGCGCTGCAAAAAAAACAAAGGATGCAAAGGGAGAACATGGAGACCTTGGGTACCCCAGAATTATTTTATTTTTTGGGTTTGGAAGTCCTTGGGACAACATGGCTCACCTTGGGTACCTGGCATTTTATTTTCCTGGCACCCTTGGGTACCCAACTAGATTTTATTTTATTTTTATTTTGCAGATTTTGCAAAATAATTTTCAGTCAGGATGGAGGAATTCATGTATAAATATGTTGTTTTTCCCTGTTTTCCCAACATGGTTGGGCACCTATAATTTTATTTTAAAAATTATTTTGGTTTAGGGTCCCCAACCCCACCTGGGGACACTACAGGGGGATGATTTAAATTCCGCATGCCGGCAGAAGGAAGAACACATGTTGGGAAGAGCATGTTGCACAAACTAGCAAGACACATTCATACAGACGAACATGGGATGTGATTGCAAGGTGGGTTCGAGTAATCACTCTTGCCAAAGGTCGGCATGTTTTGAACCTACTGGTATTGCATAGATTCAGAGTCTTATAAACTGGCACCAAGAATCGGGACAAGGGTACAATGCTAATGATCCCAGTGTTGCATTCAGTCATAGTTTCACCAGCTCGTCAGCAAGCCATGTCGTCGCATACGAGATCCGACAGGCGGGATATCCTCTCTCAGCGTCGTTGTCAGCGACTATTTTTCCTCTAAAATCACCATTAAGAAACCAGGACCTGTTTGAAAGGATGTTTTGTCTTTCGGACCGCTTCAGTGCTACATGGCAACATTTCCCCCAAGTTCGGGAGGCTCCCAGTTTTGTCGCCAACGAGTGACAGGCAGATCTGGCCTATTCTGGCCTGCTTTTTGAAGGGTTGAAAGGCGCAAGTTCCCACGAAGGATTGGGCACGATTCTGCCACTGTTGATGGACGAGATCCCGCACCAGGAGCGCAATGCCCAATGAGGGTTTCCATCGCCGATTGACAAGGAATCAAGAAGGGTTTTTGCAATGTTCTAGGCTAGGCTTGAGAAATCGCATGTTTTGCAAGCGGTGTAATCTTGCTGGAAGATGCTGGTGCAGTTACCGATGCTTCTTGACTGTTCGTGATATCTTCAGAGCCAAGCATCAGTCATTAGCGTCATCAGCCTGCACAGGTGTCTTCGAAGTGAGGCTATGGATTGGTCAATGACGGATCGCTGCTGGACACGTGGTCATCTTTGCGGGTGCCAAAGGTCAAGGCAAGGGCTGGCAAGGGCTGGCAAGAGCATCCCGAGGACACCGATATTTGGATCAAACCTAGCAAGCTCTATGAAGTCATATGAAGTCCTTGCAAACCTCTGAAGTTTTGACTTTGCTTTCTGATCTTTTGACAGTTCTGCAACTGCCAAGTTGGGCTCCACGAGGAAATGCTCCACTTCATCCTGCAGCTGCGACTCTTGGAATGGCATTTGCATTCACAATTCTGACAAAAGACAAACCAATCTGGAGTAAGGGTGAACAGTGAGCTTTAGGGCCTAAGCTTCAAAGTAGATATCTTGTTAAACTTAGTATATACTTGTTATATCTTGTTTCCTTGAGTAAGGTGAGTAAGGCTCCAACCTGGGACACGGCGACCACAGGCCCTGCTTGGTCCGGGTCCTCAGGGCCAAATTGCAAAATGGTAAGATAGAAAAAGAGCTAGGCAGAGATCAAGATGACCCTTTGATTTTTGGAGGTAGACGAAATGCAAATAGGTGTAGCCATAGACTTGGACAACAGATGGATTCACAGTGTCACAGATTTGGATTTTGATTGTTGAGTCACTTCCATTCATGGCCTTTCCGCAGTATTTTTCTTAATTCAGAGGGTTCAGCTGTCTAGATCTGCTTAGTTTTCCTTCGATTTTTTCCTGCTGGATCCCCTTGCTTTTTGATCCTGGGCATGACCTCAGCTTCGGTGGTCACGTCGAGCGATGTGATCCAGTGCCTGCTGCCGGCCACGTTTGAGACTGCCATCGCTGCTGTGCGGCAGGCGCTGCCGGAGGAACGTTGGGACAATGTGCTGCTGTGACCTTGGATTGCTTCGGGCGATTCACTTTTTTTGTTTCCAATGTGTCTCTGAATGTCACAACAAAAAAATGCTTGGAATGTCTCTGAAACAAATCCAAGGTCATGTGGAGTTCACCAGGTAGAACCAGGCAAGGCCTTGGACAACTCCACGCATCTTGGTGAGAAGACCGCAGACCGCACCGGGGAGTGTGATCGGAGTGTGAAACAAAGTTGTGGTTCAGATTTTGTTTGTTTCTCCAACTTTTTGAAGTTTTTAAAGTTTCGGTCATGGCTTTCTCACCGAAACTTGTGGCCTTAGGTATGCGCTCGTCAGCTATGATGCCCTCGGCACCTCTGCCGTCTCCATCGCGAAAACTGAGCATTGTGGGATCACCATGCAGCAACTGCTACAGATCGAGAAGTTCATCCAGAAGCATGTCCGTTTTTGGGTGGAAGCGTCCCTTGGAGCTTTCTGGTCATAAAGTTTGACGACTTTAGCATTTTACATATGTTGCTTACGAGCGCATTTCTTTAGGCATCGTTTGAGATCCAGACGGGCCACCAAAGTTGCCAACGTTCCGTTCGTTCCGTTCGTTCCAGGTTTCGACAGAGCCCCAGCTTCGGTTTGCCATTGGAGTTCGAGAAATTCAACCTGCACCATGCGTGTCACTGGATCATTTCGCCTGCCACGCGCAAGCTCTGCTGCAGCCTGGTGGAGCTAGTGGCAACGGATGCTGACGCACAGTATCCATGGTGGTTTGTGAGCCACGCATGGCAGGTGGGGGTTGATCAAAGTTCATCAAAGAATCAAGCAAATGAAAAGAAGAGGAAGGAGGAATGAAGGAATGAAGGAAGGAATGAAGGAATGAAGGAAGGAAGGACACAAACCATATTAGGGAAAAGGCAACCAAGGAAGGAGGGAAGGAAGGAAGGAAGCAACAGAGGAGAAAGGGTAGGAAAGAATGAAAGAAAGGAAGGACATGAGACGAGAAGAAACAAAGAATGTGATTTGTCAGTGATTTGTTGTTTTTGTTTCATGTTTTCCATTACATGTGAGAATAGTTATTGTCGTCCTGCTTTGCGCGCAGTGCCTCCTCCCAGTCCCCCCGTCCAAAATTCCCCCTTCCAATCCAAGCTTGCACAGGTGTAAATATATTACTTATATCAATCGTTAGCCTGTTTAAATGGCCGTTTCTGTCAAGATTTCCGTATAGAGATTCTTTCTCCAAAACACAGCCCCATACATAGCACCATACATAGCCCTGATTCAAGCCCAGATTGATGTCAAACTGTTGTTGATATTCAATTTTCCAATAAAAATTTCACCCTACCTTCGTGGAAACTTCCCAAACTGCGGAAATGTCCAAGAGCAGGAATGCCCTTTTTGAAAAGCCAGCTGCGCACAGTTGGAATTAAGAGCACAGACAAACAGGGTAACGTTTGATATAATATATTACTACACACAATATTATTTTAGGGCTGCCGCCGAAGATGAAGCATGGGTGGAGTGTGAAGAAAGTCGAATGTTGAGTGAGGAATGTAGTGTGTAGAGTGTGAAGTGGGGATTGTAGGCTGTGGAGTGTAGAGTGTAAAGATGTGTAAGGTGCAGGGTGGAAAGTGTGAAGTGTAGAGTGTAAAGTGCAGAGTGTCGAGCGTAAAGTGTCAAGTATGGAGTGGAGTATAAAGTGTAAAGTGTGGAGTGTGGAGTGTAAAGTGTAAAAGCTGAAAACGATGTGGCCAGCACGGCTGCATAGCACACCAAAAAACAGACACGACAGCCCATAAAACATAGCTTCGCACAGGGAAACACTATGCCAGTGAAGGACTAAGAAGCCACAAAGAAGCGCCGAAAAACTCCCTAACGCGTCTTGTGTAAATAAACGTTAAACCAACCCCAAATAGAATCTAAACCACCCCTGTATGAAACCTAAACCAACCCTAAATGGAATCATATTTGGGATAGCCGCTCCAAGTGGCAATCGAGACCACATAACACAAAATCTATTTCTGTATGGAAGATTTCTTTGCTACCTGCAAGTGTCGTCAATCTAGAGTCTAGAGTATTTCGATCCCCTCGTTGCCTGATCAAAAAGATATTCCAGATCAAAAAGCATTAATTATATCTAACCCACCATCAACGTATATTTCTATAGGAAATATGTTTTCCCCAAGTAGCGTCAGCTATAGGGGTTCTTACTTCTCGATGTAGAGGATCCTGATCGACGAAAATTTTGTCCCTGCAGCCGCCTTGTCTCCCACTCTTGTCTCCCTCCATGATCGCCGCCTTTGCTGCCGCTGCCGCTGTGTCTCGCCAGCTTGTCCCCCTGCTCTCTCAGTCTTGTCTGCAAACTTGAAAACTGACCCAAAAATCATTATTCTGGGGTCTATGCTGGAAAAACAAATTGGTACCTGTGCTTTATTTTCTTTGATCCCCCACTCGCAGGAAGCCATCTTCAAATTCGTGGCTTGTCTTCGGCAGCATGCCGCGCTGCGAAATGTGGCGGATGGCGCGTACTGGGTGTGCGCCTACGCAAATAATCAGCACAGGCTCAAGGACTGCCAGACACTGCTGTGGGCAATGAGTTTGGGTGAGTTTAGAATGGTTCAAACAACTGGTTTAGCGACGGGGTGATTGTATCACACGGCACTGCTGGCAGGAAGAAATCTGTGCAAATCCCCGCTCAACTTCATTTTATCGCGCGATGCAATTATCCATAGGCATCGTACTGATCTTGGATGAGAAAGCGACGCCTTTCACAAGGATTTGGTGCTGTTTTGAGGAAAGCATCGCCGCTGCCCGGCTAAAGACTCTGAAAGAATGACAACCGCAACTCCAGTGCTTCGAGTTCCATTTCCAGACTTTCCGAATGATTTCACATGACTTTCGAGGTGGAAGAACGCAATGCTGGGATGCCCCTGCTCCTGGATGTGGCTGCGACTGATCCTGCCAACGAGGCCAAAGAAACCAACGGGGCTCAATGCTTCTGGTTGCATACCTAGAACCTCAAGCGGGCTGAAATTTCAGCCTTAGACAGAATTTAGGCTGAATGGGGTATCGGGCAAACTAACAGCCTGCGGGCTGAATTCGATTTTCGAGCAGTTTTTGCCAAGTTTGGATTTGAAAACCACAGACACATAAAAAAAAAACAATGAAACATTTCCAAAGCAGAAAATAGGTTTCTTTTAAAGCATTTTGGTGTAAAGGAATCGGGCATGATTTGGCGTGATGCGGGCCTGATTTGGTGTGATGGGGGTTTGGGCAACCGGAAAATTGTCTTCTAAAATGGTTGTGTAAACATGATGCCCCTTGGGTACACTATGTTCAGAGGCCCAAAAGGCAACAAAACTGATTCGGGCAGAAAAAACACATGAAATTTTAGGCTGAACAGCTGCAGCTTCAGGCTAAAAAAAAGTTCTGCGCGAGGATGCAGGTATAGGCTGTCTAATACGCTGCTTCACATGAAACTGTTCCAACAACGCTTCATTCGATTAGGTTTTGAAAGCCAGCTGAAGGATGGACGGAATTCAGGCGAACGAAGTGGGTCCTAGAGGGATCTAGGAGAGGTGGAGTTGCACAGAGGGCTTGGGGAGGCCGGAGCGGCTGAAGGCACCTCATTCCAGGGGTAAGGCCTGTGGATGTTTCCTGTCACTTGGCCCATACCACCCAAGCTCTGCAGTCCAACCATTTCAGGGTCTGAAGGCATCTTTCACCTTTGCTGTTCAAATCGTTTTTGAAAATTTGTGTCATAGCGAGTTGGACGAGAATACCCGGAAAAGAGGCGGGAATGCCCGGGGAACAGGCGAGCATTCGCGAAGAAATGCTTACTTTTCCGTTGACAATAGCTTGCTGTCGAGGGGTTCGTATTTCCAGGAATGACAGCAGAAATGCGGAACGGTGAATATAACCCAAAACGCACACATTCCCGGCGAGAATTAAAGGCCAGACGGGATTTCCATGGTCAGACAAAAAACCAAAACCTAGGCCACCGAAAAATAGGTTCAAATTACAGATTTCGGTGGCTCTAGGTTTTTCTTGTTTGATGGCATGATGGCAGGCTTCTTTAGCACCGTGTGCCAGGCGCACGTGCTGACTGATGGCTTGGCGGCCGCAGAGGCGTCCCGGATGCCGCTGCTTGGTTTTCTAGCCAAGTCTGTGCGAGAAGCGGCCTTCCCCACACCACTGGTGCAGAAGGCCGCGTGAAGTTGCGGTAGGCATCGGTCTTCTGAAGTAGACCAACTATGAATCTGCATATGTCATTCAACTTTGCATTTTCAAACATATTATTTGCACTAGTATCATGAGATTCCTATTTGGATCTGAAAAAAATGTTTGCTGCAACCTGCATGGCCAAAAACTGCAAGCGTGTGACTTACCGGTTACTTCATGGCAGGTCGAATTGTATGTGAAAGTGCCAACGCTAGGGCTTGGACGTTGACATCGCGCAAGCCGATGCCAGCCTAGCGTCAGACAAGACCGCCATCCTGAATTCCATCAGGTTGCCACGCGCAAGGACCAAGGCCAGGCTCCGGCAGCTGAGAATGGGTTGTCCAAAGACTTGACAAAAACAGATTTGGAAAACAACAGAGCAGAAAACAAGACATTGTTTTCAAACATGTTGGGTTTTACCAATTACCAATTGTAGCCCCACAAGGCAGGGCTGCAAAGTTCGTGTTCTCAAGATGTTTGTGGTCCATGTAGCGGCGCAATATGTTATACTTGTATTAGATATTATGCGATTTTGTGATGTGAATGTTTTGTGAAGTTATCCTAAGAATTTCCTTCTCAAACAAACGCGGTTTGAAAATAAACAGGGTACGTGTCGCCGACAACTTCAAGGCTATAGCCTCTAGACTTTCAATAGATTTTGTTTTGCCTATTAGGCAGAAAACCGCCTTAGATACATTGTCAGCAATCTCCAGTCAAATTTATCAGTGTTGGTTGCTGAATGTGGTTTCAACGTTCTCGTTGCTGCCATGTGGTTTAGTTGAGCTGTGGTCCCGCGGGCATGAAATTGATCGGGTTTTTGACTAGTAGCATCTAACAGCAAAAACAATTAGCACGTGAAGGGTAGTTCCACGTTTCCCGCTGGTAGAGGTACTCTCTGACTCCGCACCATTGGAAGATCCAAATTATACGGCTGTGCCGCTCGGCAGATGAACTTATGCCTCGTTGGCTTTGCTTTGTTTGAACATTGCGCCTGTTTCAAGAAGAATGCATTGTTTCATGGTGGGAAGCTGAGGAACCAGGCGTTGGCGGCGCACTTTGCACTGGCGTCGTGGTTCGGCTTCGTGGCGAAACGCCATTCGTTCGACTCCAAGGTTTTAGAGCGACTCCTGAGCGCCCTGGCGGCAGACAGCTTTCGGAGAGTGGTGCAGCTGTCCTTCACGGGCTGCCGTGGCTTCACAGATGCGGAGCTGAGCCAGCTGCTGCGGCACCTTCCCAGGCAGATCGGCTGAAAAACCGGTGCAGTGTGTGACGCCATGGAAATAAATTTGATTGCCGAATTCTGGATATTCTGGCAGGCAGCTGCTGCTGCTTCGTTTGGATATGGGCTTCAGTGGAGTCCAATGCTGGGCTTTCCCAGAGGCACAAGCTCCGTGCCGTGCGCCAGGGTGCTTTGACGTCGTCTAAAACTATGTATATACCAGGTTGGCAACTTTGAGATATTGAATAAGAAAAACATTAGATACAATGTTTCAATCAATAGAAATTTAATATCCACAATATCAATATATATCAATTGTTAATTGTCTTATGATGATATGATACTCTTCGAATTTGAAGAAGATGCCCCACGCCAAGACTTGCCAAGAGGTCGAGGAGATGGAGATGCCTCCACTGCAGGAACTCAGCCTGCGCTTCACGGGCTCCCACCTGGCGAACGCTTCGGGCTTGGGGCAGATGCTCGGTGCCGAGCCGATGTCGCAGTCACTGCGCTCTGTGCAGCTCTGGTTTTCCAATTTGCCGTGCGCAGCTCAGCCGTCGCACGGAGAATTTCACCTTAAAAATTTTAGGTTTGAGATGCTCAAAGCCATCAGCATCAGCCATGGATGTTGAGCGATTCTTTGAGGTCCTTGGTGGAGCTGGGCTCATGGGAGCCTCTCACGAAGCTGAAACTGGAAGAATTGGTGTTGCAGCTGAACGCTTGCGAGGCCGTCACTGACGAAGCCAAGCAATCCTTGCCTCTCAGATTGCAGTTGGAGATGGAGATGAGATGCGAAAACGGATCGAACTGCGGTGAGTCCCAAGAGAGTCGCCACGCCATCCCGCCATTTGATGGAAATTTGATGTTCTAAATTATTAAAGCCAGCCGTAGGCTAGAGCTGAAGGTTTTTATCGGGAACATAGTGAGCTTAAGGGTCTGGCGGGGCCAATTGGAACAAAAAACGCATAAATAGGTGGCGTGGAGCGTGCCTTTTGAAGCCGTTGAGATGCCATAAAAAGGGTGATGACGGTGATGAGTGATGAGAATCAATATACCTGCCTTTTGAGAGGATTGAGAAGCTAAAGAATTGGTGATGAGAACAGAGCATGTAGAGACACAAAAATGTTGATCGTAGGTATATATTGTGGCGATTTTAGGTATATTGAAGTCTGTTTGTGAGAAATCTGTGGATGAGAAGTGTGTGGGCGAGAAGTCTGTATAGGTGAGAAGTTTGTGAGTGAGAATTTTGCGGGTGAGAATCCAGTGGGTCAGAAGTTTGTGAGAAATCTCGAAATATTTACGACTTTCCTCATTTGGTTCACTAGCTGACTTCCATCGTCAGTCCCATTTCACACCACCTTCCATCAGGCTTTCGTTACATCCCTTTCAAGTATTTTTCAGCAAAATATAGTTCTCCAGAGAGCGTGGTCGCGGTGAGGGGGTTACGGGAAGTGTATGCAGGAGCTGGTGGGGTCGCAGCGGTCAATGTGGTTCAACTGCGGGGCTTTGCATGAATTTCCCGCAGCAAGAATGTTCTCGTTGTTTTGCGTGGCATGGGTTGATTGCGTCGACTTGAAGTGATGGTGGTTTCCCCTGGTTTGGCGCATCGTAGATGCGTTAATCCATGTGGCAAGGCATGGGACGTGAATGTCAATTTCGCACGGCAGGTGCAGCACAAATATGACCTCGTGACCCCCTGACCGTTTTTGCGCAACACAATGTAACACATGCAATAGGACAGAGATCTTGAACCGAGAGATCTTGTGAAATGTTGGTCATCCCACACGATCATCCCACAGGATCTCACTGATCGGAGGGATCTTGTACCACTCCAGAGACGTCTTTTGGAAAGATTCTGCGTAGAGGTTTTGCGCCTGTACTGTCAAAGATCTGGTGCTTGAGGTTCTTGTGATTGTGGCAGTTCTCAAAATATGGGATTTGTAGATTTTCTCAGCAGAGCCATGCATAAAGGTCGCAACAGAGGCGCACAAGGCGAAGGATTTCCCAACATTCCCAACTTTATTCATATTTGCGATATCCTAAAATTGTACTAAGACTTCTAAATTTATTTATTTTCACATCAGGCACTTAATGAAGTTATAAGTATATTATAAGTTGCTATTATCTTGCTAATATCTTGTTTAAATTGTTTTTTTTATTTTTTTGTTTTAAGTTCCACTAATCGTTTAGGTGAACTTGTAACATAATAATGAACATATAAGTAAATATAGTGGAATATTATTCAAAAATAAGTTGAAATAAGGGAAAAGAAGCGAAAATAAGTAAAAATATGTTTTTTGTCAGTTTTCAACATTGATGGACATGGATGTCGATTACCACGGAGCAATTTTGGCTTCAAAGGGAAGGGCATTGGAAGAGCAATGTCTGTGCTCGAACGATTGGCCGCAATTTATAATGCTTAAACATACAGAAGGTAACAAATTTATTATTTTTAATGTATATACGTCAGAAAATTTTGAAAATGAGAAAATGTAGAAAATGAAGAAAATATTGAAAATGTTGAAAAGTCGGAAAAAACAAAAAAAAAAACAGAAAATTTAGAAAATTTAAAAAATTCAGAAGAGTCAGAAAATTTAAAAAAAAACTAAAATTCATAAAATTCAGAAAAATCAGAAAATTTTGAAATTCAGAAAATTCAGAAATTTCAGAAAATCAGAAAATTCAGAAAATTCATATATAGATATAAATATATTAAATTCAGAAAATTCAGAAAATTTAGAAAAAAACATAAAATTCAGAAAATTCAGATATATATATATATAAATATATTAAATTCAGAAAATTCAGAAAATTCAGAAAATTTAGAAATTCAGAAAATTCAGAAATTTCAGAAATTCAGAAAATTCAGAAATTTCATATATATATATATAAATGTATTAAATTCAGAAAATTCAGAAAATTTAGAAATTCAGAAAATTCAGAAATTTTAGAAATTCAGAAAATTCAGAAATTTCATATATATATATAAATATATTAAATTCAGAAAATTTAGAAAAAAAACATAAAATTCAGAAAATTCAGAAATTTCATATATATATATATACATATATAAATATATTAAATTCAGAAAATTCAGAAATTTCATATATATATATATATATAAATGTATTAAATTCAGAAAATTCAGAAAATTTAGAAATTCAGAAAATTCAGAAATTTTAGAAATTCAGAAAATTCAGAAATTTCATATATATATATAAATATATTAAATTCAGAAAATTTAGAAAAAAAACATAAAATTCAGAAAATTCAGAAATTTCATATATATATATACATATATAAATATATTAAATTCAGAAAATTCAGAAATTTCATATATATATATATATAAATATATTAAATTCAGAAAATTCATAAAATTCAGAAAATTCAGAAAAATCAGAAAATTTAGAAAATTCAGAAAATTCAGAAATTTCAGAAATTCAGAAAATTCAGAAATTTCATATATAGATATAAATATATTAAATTCAGAAAATTCAGAAAATTTAGAAAAAAACGGAAAATTCAGAAAATTTAGAAATTCAGAAAATTCAGAAAATTCAGAAATTTCAGAAATTCAGAAAATTCAGAAATTTCATATATATATATATATAAATGTATTAAATTCAGAAAATTCAGAAAATTTAGAAATTCAGAAAATTCAGAAATTTTAGAAATTCAGAAAATTCAGAAATTTCATATATAGAAAATTCAGAAAATTCAGAAATTTTAGAAATTCAGAAAATTCAGAAATTTCATATATATATATATATATAAATATATTAAATTCAGAAAATTCAGAAAAAAACATAAAATTCAGAAAATTCAGAAATTTCATATATATATATATAAATTCAGAAAATTCAGAAAATTTAGAAAAAAACAGAAAATTCAGAAAATTCAGACAATTAAAAAAAACAAAAAAAATATGAAAATTCTGAAATTCAGAAAATTCAAAAATTTCAGAAAAACCAGAGAATTGAGGAAATTTAGATAATTCGAAAAAAATCGCAATATTCAGAAATATATATATGAAAAGAGATGATGCCTGAAAAGGAAACTTCCTGTAAAAGATAAATTTAACAGGACAAGGAAAATCTTGCATCGGAACCATGAAAATATCCAAACAAAAAAAAGAAAACGCAACATTCTTATATTTTTTTAATTCAAAGATGTTTTACAAAACCCTATGACAGAAACATCTTTCGTCTTTTATCAATTTTAAACAGTAAAAAATAATGAAAAATTAACCTAAATTAAGTGAAAATAAGTAAAAATGACTTCTATGATAAGTTAAGATAACTACTAATATTTTCATTAAGTGCCTGATGTGAAAATAAATAAATTTAGAAGTCTTAGTAATTATTGATATTGTCACGTGTGGAATCCTCATTAGATCCCATCAGTTCCTGCGTTTTCACTGTTTGGGACATGTTGTATTCAAGGTATGATTGCGTCCAACGTCTGAAACGTCGTCAGAGAGGATTGGAACTGCGATTGACGATCGAGGCTGAGCCAAGCTGCGCCATCACAGGGACGAGTTGCAATTTGTGTCAGCCCAGGGGAACCACATGTTTCAGATCCCATAGCATCTCATAATTTGTTCAACTTTCAGGATTTAAACATATCTGAAGTTTTGACACCCCAAACCCACAGAGTTCAGGGTGTGGCTGAGCGATCATGGCCCTGGGTGCCATGTCAGAGGCCAGCTGTCAAGGAGCCAAAAGTGAAATGGTCTTGCGCCGTTCTCGGGTAGAGTCTTGCCCCATTGCGGTGTTTCGAAACATTCTCAAGTCGCCGTTACGAAAGAGAAAAGCACGTAGGGAATCATGGGGAGCTAGTGACAGTTTATGAGGAAATGATCTTATCATGTGAGAGCTCATGTCCTATCCAACCAGGGCATACCAGGGCCTTGGTGTGTTGCAGGATGTGGAGTTGGCAGGCGGCAAGAGTGTGGACGAGTTGGAGAATTTTGGAAGTGAGACTCTACCGTTCCCATGTAGCTACGGCGGCTGCGACATCTTCCATTCGAACTTGAGTGGCTTTTGCCCCAAGCACCGCATGTGGCGGCATTGTTGGAAGTTGGGGCGCGTTTGGCAGACAGCTCCTTGGCCGGTTGTTGGTTGTTCATGGTTGCCCACACCTGAACAACTGCAGTGTTAGAAGACCTTCATTGCCATGTCGAAGGCTTGGTGCTGGACCGAGCTCAGCTTGCTCTTCGCGATCCAGGCCGCAGCCGAGATCGAGCATCGCGCCACGCTGGTGGCCATCCTGCTCTCGTTGTGCTGAAGCTGCACTTGGAATCAACGGATTTTAATGGATTTCAGGTGATTTCCGATGTCACCGTTGTGTCACTCCTTCGGCCGCTTTATACCCAACCCAAATTGGAATCGTGCAGCTTTACCCCGACCCTGAAATCCTTTGAGTGACAGTGACCCAAGTTGGTTTTGGCGAGAACCCTGGCCATCACTTACCGTTTGATTGCCGAGTGTCATACCTGTCCAGCCATTTGATTTTCTTTGATTATTGCATATTGCCATGTTGCTGGAATTATCATGGCCAACTGAGCTACAGAAGGGTTGTAGCAGTTTGAATTAGAAAGGTGAAAAAATGTGTTTAAAACATGCATTATTTTTGAAATGTGGAAAAATGTATTTTAAAAATGTCAAAAAATTGAAGCTTTGTTCTCTGTTCCTTCTGCATTTGATTTTATGTTTTTACTCCTGGTAGTCATTGTTTTGCTATAGATAAATTAAACAGATCTGCGATCTGCACAGTCCACTTCCGATCGATTTGAACTGCTCCTCTCTGATTTTCAACCTGCAGAAGTTGGGCTGGCAGCAAAGTAACTGCAGCAAAACTGGGCCCAAAAAAATCAGAGTTCCACCTTCCCAACTGGATTTTCAAATGTTTTTCTTTCACATTTTTCCAAGTGCATTTTCAAAACGCATTTGTTCACATTTTTGCAAGTGCATTTTCAAAACGCATCTTGTTCGCATTGTTTTCACATTTTTTTGAAAAATGCGAAAAAATGCGTTTTGAAAATGCGCATGAAAACATATGAAAAATGTGTTGAAATGTGAAAAACATGTGAAAATGTGAAAAAATGGAACAAAGGGCAGTTGAAAAGTTCCTGTTTCTTAGCACCATGTTTCCCATTTTTTCCAGCTATAGGTTTTTTTCAGGTTTTCTTTGAAAACCAATGTTAATTTATAGAATATTAAACTTAAACATTCTATTAGGAATGTAAATTCTATTTAATGTAAATTAGGAAAAGTATTAAAAAAAATGTAATTTCCTGTTTTTCCACATTTTCCACATGTTTCACATTTTTCACATTTTTAAAAATGCATGTTCATTTTTTCACATTTATTTCACATTTTTAATTAATCATTGTTTTGAAGCTTGTAGCTGGAAACGGCCATGATAATACTGGAACACCCAGCTCAGCCTAGCACGAAACTTTTTTTTCATTTCTGTCGCCCCGAGGTATCCGGTGTTCTGCTTGTCATTGGAGGAGTCTGTGGGAATTCCATGGGCCATCACTTGCGCATTGCTCTTGGTCGCGGTGATTTGCCACTCAGATCCAACTGCTTTGGTCTTCGTATGGGCACACCAGATGGAAGTCATAAATGGATTCAAATGGGGCGTAATTTTGATCAGTTCAAATCCCAACCAATTTGTAGAGTCAAACCAGGTTCTGTGCCAATTCCAAGGCAGCTTGGTAACTACCAGCGTGCGCTTTGACAACATGCGAGAACAGATTCTAAAGCAATCAGTGGCAACAGAAGCAAGCTACTCTCAGGCGCGCAGTCTTTTAATTTCTTTGCGCGTCCTTGCTGTCCCTTGCTTCCTTTGTGCCACTTCTGGTGAGTATTGTTCCAGGAATTGCCCGTGAGTTTGAAGCATGAATTTTGAGGCAATCAGTGCGAGCAAGATCTAAGGAACAATAATTGCAGGAGAGAAGATGAAAAGGTATGACAAGAAGTTTCAAAATAGTCAAGATGGATCTGACACAACATGAGAAGACAGTAGGCAACCATGGCAACATGAGAGAAGTCTATATCGTGCATGGACAGGTGTTGCAGTTGCCAGATTCTGGCAACATGCTTCGAGTTCCTACCATGGCGGGCTGCAGCTACCCAGATTCAAGCGTTTTGCATCAACGAAGCACCGACTTGTGCCTCGGAGAATTCACATTTTTTGTAATTTAGGGTTTGGTTGATTCGTAGCTTGGTTATAGCCATGCGGATCGATGCTGGGATGACTTTCATTTCCAACGAAAGCGTGGTTGTCGGATGTTTTCCGGAATCTGTTGGCCATCGGATGTTTTCATGGGACCATTATTCACTATGTCTATTTCGAGAAGATTCTTGTCCCAATCAATCCTTTGTCTTGGGCTTCTTGGGCTTGCAGGAGTAGGATTTACAGGGATGCGCAAAGCCGCCTTCCTCTCTTTCAGCGTCTTGTCGGCTTTGAGCTATGCCTACGTTATTTGAGTTTGCAAAAATTAACATCCTAACAAAGACTCCCATGCTCCAGAAAGAAAGACCATTGACAATATTCACCCAAAACTTGCATAATTAGTCTGGAGCAATTCACCAGGCCAAGCCCCCTAGGCAAATCTGCAGAAATCCATCGAAGGGGAAGACGGAACATGTTTAGATTTTTCTACATGTTATGTTTCCTTTGGCTCTTGTTACATGCTTTTGGATATGGTGAACTGTGTTCTCTAAAAATGTCTCTTTCACTTTTTTAGGTCCTAGATTGCGCAGCGAAGGCATCAAATGAAAACCAGGTTAAAGGATAATGAAACATGCCATGCCATTGCCATGTATCCGATGTAATCCAGTGTATCCCATGTTTTGTGTCTTGCTTGGCAAACCAGCGATTTCCTCAGCCTACTTCTGGGCATGTTTGTTTCCCAGGAGAGCCATGAAGTTGGTGCTTCCCAATGCAACTGTGAAGATCAAACTCTTGACGCATTTGAGCAACGAAGAGCAGCAAAGCACCTCCACCATGTACCATGTGTTGTGTCCTCGCCGTAAAGTTGACAGAATGTTTGGGGGAACACAAAGTAGAACTTTTGGAAAGGCCTTGCTCGTGCTACTGCTTTTAAGTTGTGTTGTTTGAGACCTTGTGCAGGAAACTGCCCAAATTAGAACTGCGTAAACTCTGAGAGTTCTGCTATGCATCTCTCAACTGGCATGTCATAATCATGCTTTGACCAGACATGTGCATTTGGACCTAGAGTTCTTATTTTTCAATGTACCATAGATGCGGCGCATGCAGCGCTCGTACGCCCTTCTACATGGTCTGAAGATGTTTGAAGGGCTCAAGCTCCTTTGCCAGGCCCAGAGAAAGTGTTGGATGCCCTGCGATGTGAACTGGTGTGCGAAGACATGCTGGGAGTGCAGGAGGCGTTCAAGGGCTTGGAGGTGTCTTGGTGTTATAAGTTTGTCAACTTTCCCATCACGGCTCAAACCTGAAAATTTAAAGTAACTATTGCCGTGAGTGGCAGAAGGGGAGGGCTTCGCCATTGAGCCAAACACGCGCTTCGCGTCGGAACTTGAGGACAGAATCCAGAGCGAAGACTTGGCCTCCCTGCAAATCGCTGCAGTTCAGGATACCTTTGCGGAGATGAGCGGCCACAAGTGCTGCCAGGCGGATTGGTCCATGGGTCAATGGGTCGATGGGCCGATGGGTCGATGCAATGGAGTTTTCATGAGTAATTTCAGAGGACCCTTCAGTGGACTACTGTGACTACTGGATGCATCTTCACAGTTACGGCGCGGGAGAAAAACATTGAAAAACCCTGGCTGATCAGTAAATCTATACAATGTATACAATGTCGTACGGATTCTCACAACTTGTTTGTGGTCAGGATTGCACATTTGCCAGGTGATCCTGCAGATGGAGAATTATTTTGCCTCGGTTTTTCTCATGGATGCGTTCCTCACGAGGCGATCTGGGGCCCGGGTTGGATCTCCTTCGGAGCAGGGAAGTGGTGCCGAGAACTTGACATGGGACCTGTAGAACACCAGGGGAACAGTAGAGCACCATGTGCCTTTGCGACTTGATGTGCCTTGTTTACATCGACTAAGTTCTAAGACATTCTAAAACCGCATAGGGCGGACAATGAGCTGCAAACAGGATGGACAATGAGCTGAGCAGCGTGACAAAGTTGGCTGCGCAGTTTGGGTTGCTAGATGACATGAAATCCAAGTGGGAGACTTCATCAAGGCCGGGAATCGACTTGCTCAATATTATAATTCATTCAGCAAGGTTGAGCCTTCGGCCTGAAACCATGATTCCGAGCGAACCTCTGGCCTTGCGAGCTGCTAGGCTTTGGAATTCCGTGTCTGACGTTCGCAGACCTTTGGTCCTTGTAGGGACCATTTTCTTGCAAGTTCTGGCTTTGGCCATGTCGATGTTCATGGCGCTTCAATATTTCCTACGCTATGCTCACAGGAGAGCCGTTCCCAATTGTTCTCATGCATTCTCCAATACTTGGTCTATGTGCTGACAGTCTTGCCAGAATCCCATTTCAGAACTATTGTCAAAGTCATTGTCAGCTCAGCAATTTTTTATGTACAGCCAATGGCCGCAGTTTCGGAAATTCCGCAGGATCCGGCCCCAATTGCCTGACTTGGTTTTGGATGGCTTGCTGCTGGACAGAGGAGAGGAGTCCGGTGAGACTATCCTGGAGGCGTGGGAATTTGGGGAATGTTGCAGAGTTCCATATGTTGACGTTGCAGATGTGCGACTGAATTGGACGCCAATTCATCCAATTCCCCCTCGGCCCAGCTGAGGCCATATTTTTGGCACTGCCCTACCTCGTTTTGGTGGCCGTTTTCCTGCAGCAGTTGGTGTGTCGGAAGCAAAGCAGGAAAAGGCCTCAACCGACGAAGATCCTGTACGTTCCTGAGCATGATTTAGCCAGGGTGATTGCAGTCTGTCATATTCTGGCGTTAAAAATTGCCCATGATCATGTGCAATTTAAATCAATTTAACTTTTAGTGACTTGTGCAACCCGAGGAGCGATATTTTGGGCTGCGCGGAGTTTACTACCCCGTCAAGGTGGCGATTTTGCAAGGTCTCACCGTCATGGTGCAAGCCTTTGGAAAAATCTCCTTGTTGGGGGGCCTCGTCACCTTTGCCCAAGAAGAGCAGGACGCGACTGCCATTCTTTGGCTTAGTGTTGGCTTCTGGGCTTTCTTTGCTCTGCTGTGTTGGAACAGTCTCTATCCCGCCTTTCTTCTTATGTTCCCTGACACTGCCTGGGCTCGAATTGGAGCAGCATTTACGGATGCTGCTCTGGACCTTGGCTACATCTTGACCTACCTGGGTATGGCATCTTGATTTAAATTTGGTTTGACAAGTTTCAGGGGAATCACTGTCCTTTAGATCTTGATGGTTTGATTCTCTGTCTTTCAATGGAAAGCATTGCTGCAAGGTCTTGGTGGCCATGCTGCGATTGCGGACAGCCTCCGAAGGTTGGGGAAATTTTGGCGAGGACTTGACGTTGCAATTCAGAAACTAAGCTCCAGAATGGTTGGTCGTGCGTCAACCAACATTGAGTGTCTCCAGTGAAACTTTGCATACCTGTGCCATGCGAGTGGGATCTTCACTGCAACTTGTTTGAATCTGAGGCAATCGCATCAGCCCCGTGTTCGCTTTTCCCACCGACCTATTGGGCTATTGCGCCGTGTATTTCAACTTGGCGCATGCATGCTGCATTGCACACATTTTGCAGCACACTACTTGGCGTTTGCCAGTGCGACCCAGGCGACAGCAAGACTAAACAGCTTGCCATGCCATATCTTGCCATGTAAACATGTCAGATGATGTCAGTTTCGTTGCTTGTGAACTCACAGCAGCAAGCACCATGTCAGGGGCGAGCGCCAAAAGTCTCGATGCCTTCCAAGACTATTTGGGTGCTCCCTTTCCATTGGGCTTCTGTCGATGCTGATGACGCTCCTTGTGACGCAGGACTGCCGCACAAGATTTGCGTGAGTGACTGTGAGTGGTGATTTTGATTTGACGACACTTGTTCAAGCGCCTTTGCAGGAAGTCTTCCCAATGACCCATGGACGGGATTTCACGTTAAGCTCTCAGGGAACCGTTTGTATCTTTTTGCCATCGGTGAGTTCTCATAAAAGATCTATAGGAAAAGGTCGTGGAATGGGATTACAGGTACCTGTGCAACTTGTGTCTCCTAGGTGTTTCCCGTGCAATTGCGCTAAAAATGTTGGCTCGGCCGGCCAACAGATTAGCAGCTGCAACCTTGCAGTCGTCCTCAGACAGACGCAGGCCAGGCGGACCACCGGCAGTTTGTTTTTCTGTATATGGAAATATGTTTAATAATAGGTTTCAATGTTAAATGTTGTTTGAATATGTTTGAATGGGAATTATCACACATTATATTGTGCATCTAATTTCATGGACAATGCATTTTTCTTACATATGCTTCCCCTGCGCACCAACTTTAGGTGAACCTCGCTGCGAAGAACATCACTGCCGTGGACCCAAAGGCTTTCAGCAAACTCGGACATGTGCAGCGCCTGTCATTGGCGAACAACAGCTTGATCCATCTGCCTCCGGGCCTTTTCGAAGGCAGGAAGCTCTGAGCAGCGTTGGTCAAAGAACAATTCTGCATAGTTCTGCAAAGGTTTCTAGCAGCCATGCAATGACACAATGTGTGATGTTCATACAGCAGCCATACATTAAATTGATGTTTCAGGTCTATCATCATTGGAGCAGTTGGACTTGACACGAGTTAAGCTGGAAACAATGCACGGAGATTCTCTTCGGGGCTTAAAGCACCTGAAACTATTAGCGATGAGACACTTGTCAGCTGAACACACATTTCTTTGACACAGTTTTTTTGAACACATTTGTTGACACATTTTTTTGTTTGAGCTAAACAAAGCTAAACCAGCTAAATCTATCTAAATCTCACCATTCTTCTTTTCCACAGATTGGCATCGACCAAGGCGAGAACCAGCTCACCGAGCTCTCGGCCGCAATGCTCCGACACCTGCCGCTGTTGGAGCAGCTGCTCCTGGGCGGCAAAAGATCCGAGGACGGGACCCGCCTCATCTCGGCGGGCAATTTCATCACGGAGCTCGGGGCCATCTTCGGACACAACGAACAGCTGCAGGTGATCGACTTCAGCAGCAACTGGCTAAGGAAGATCCACCCGGGCACCTTTGCAGGACTAAAGAAGCTCCGATGGCTCAGCTTAGGGTTGAACTTCTTGACGACAATTCCTGCGGGAGCATTCCAAGGACTTGAGCAACTGCAGACACTCTATCTGGCCGGCAACCAGTTGACGACAATTCCTGCGGAAACATTCCAAGGACTTGAGCAACTGCAGGAACTCAATCTGAACAACAACCAGTTGACGACAATTCCTGCAAGAACATTCCAAGGACTTGGTCAACTGCAGACACTCGATCTGCGCGGCAACGAGTTGACAACAATTCCTGCGGGCACATTCCAAGGACTTGGTCAACTGCAAACACTCGATCTGGGGGTCAACTGGTTGAAGACAATTCCTGCGGGAACATTCCAAGGACTTGAGCAACTGCAGACACTCTATCTGGCCGGCAACCAGTTGACGACAATTCCTGCGGAAACATTCCAAGGACTTGAGCAACTGCAGGAACTCTATCTGAACGACAACCAGTTGACGACAATTCCTGCGGGAACATTCCAAGGACTTGAGCAACTAGAGATACTCTCTCTGGAGTACAACCAGTTGACGACAATTCCTGCGGGAATTTTCCAAGGACTTGAGCAACTGCAGAAACTCGTTCTGTACCGCAACCAGTTGACGACAATGCCTGCGGGAACATTCCAAGGACTTGAGCAACTGCAGACACTCGATCTGAGCAGCAACAGGTTGACGACAATGCCTGCGGGAACATTCCAAGGACTTGAGCAACTGCAGACACTCGATCTGTACGGCAACCCTTGGAATTCGTCGAGTGTTTGCATTAATTCTTCCTCGCTTCCGTTGCTGAATGATTTGTGGGGCGTAAGCTTTTGCTAAAATGTTTAGGGACGGGGCGCTTGAAGTGCATCTGGCCCTTATGCAATCGCAGTTTTGGAAGCGCCACGGCAAGCGCAGAAAAGAACTTTACGTATCAGTTGCCACAGACATAGTCTTGCGGTTCCATCTTTCACATCAAAACCTATCCACCTCGGTCAGCCAGCCTTGATCAAGGACACCAGGCCACTTTGGTCTCGCCAACGTTGGGGCTCTCAGAGCCGAGGGGGTCCATGTACCTTGCGGGCACATCTGCTGCTATGCGCCCTACGAAATCTTCGTCATTCCACGTTGCAAGGCACATGATCCCCAACCTATTTGAGGTCTAGGCGTGCCGGGTTAAGGCAATACTAACATCATCTCACATCCAGCTACTCGTAGCACTTGGTACTCGAGATCCTGACTTAGTTGGATAAGTTGGATAGCTCGATTTCAGATTGTGCATTTAAGATTTTATACAGTGCACACGAATAATGTTTGATTTTTTCATGTTTGCAGCCATGGTGCAAAATATGCGAATCCACATGGGTTTTAGGTTTCACATACCAAAGGCTCTGCTTTTTCATGGAAGTTGTGCTACATTCCAAGAAGTTGCACAGACACACGACTGACAAGACTTGATGCACAGAAGAACTTTGATGGAGCGCAGCCCAAACTGCACAACTCGACCGGTGGGAACAATAATGGCATAAAAATATGTTCAACATGTTCTACCATTTTTTTCTTGGAGTTCAACACGTCGTCCATGAACAGGTTGGCATCCTTTTTCCATCCAACTACCCCATGAAAACTTACCCGGAGTCTCGAAAAAGAGTAAAAAAAACGTGGAAGAATTCTACAAGTTTCGCACCATACCTTACCCTCTTGCCTCATCACATCTCCCTCTTCCATTTCTTTATAGCGTTTGTGTTTGTATGTTGCTAAATGGTCTTGCCATCCATCCTTTCTAACTTCTGTTCTACAACAGTCACTCCATACCTTTTCCTTGTTTCTTTCTCTTTTCTCTGGAAGTAGCCTGCCCTTTTCTTTCTCATAAAGTCTCTTACATTTCTCACGCATTTTTTCATGGTTGTTTTTAGCATACTCTGCCACTTTTCCAAACAAGTAATACAGGATTTCCTCCCCTCTTTAAACTCATCATTTGCTTTGTCCTTATGACACCTACAGCAGTGTTTCATTTCAGCCATTCTACTACATAGTATATATATATAGTCATTTTGTCTTTAAGTAGTTTTTAGTCTTGAATCTGTCAATAGCCATGGAAGAAAGACAATTAAGTAATACTGTACATATTTAATTGTTTTTATTTCAGGCTCAGCATTCTAAATCTTCTACCCATGTAATTGATTCATATGCCGTTCCCACTAAATATACCACACAACAGAATTACATTTTTTACAAAAATAATGTGTCCTTCCATCAAAGAACTTTACCTCATCAGGCTCTGGTAGTTTTGGTATATCTGGACTTTGATTTCTCTTTAGACGTGTTTGATGTCTTTGCGTTTTTTTCGTGTTTTGCCTTACATCCAATCTTTCCTTCAAAATCGCATAGTTCGCACTGATATGTTTTCTGTCTGTATTTCTTTGTTCTCTACATACTTTACAAGATTTGAACCCCTCTTCAAAATGTTCAATCCCTCTCTCACTCTGACAACTAAAACAGTATTTCTTTTCAGCCATTCGACTACTAATATATATATATATATTCATTTTATCTTTAAATATGTTTTTCTTAAGTCAAGAATATTTGAAAAATCAAGGTTAATAATTAAATCATATATTAACCTCAATCATTCATAATATATTGATGTCTCCAATTGCCCACACTATCCCAATAAGAACTAAAGTCTTAAACATATAGTGTAATTATGAACATTTGAGCTGCATCTTTCATGTTTGCCCTTTTCAAGAAATGAGCAACAACTGTTAATAATGAATAGCAGTTCCATACCATGGCAGTTTTATCTCCTCTTTCACTCGTCGTTTTTGGATTTGGGCCTATGTTGATCCATGTTAGGCTCTTGGAGGCTATGTTGGGGCCATATTCGAGCCATGTGAGCATATGTTATTTTCCTTTTAAGCCTTTACCAGGCCCAAAAGGAACACGTAGAACCAGCAGATGTTTCATGCACTGCCGCAGGACACAGCCGATGTTGTCACTCTGAAGTCTCCATGTATTTTTCCAGCTCCTTCTAGTCGTAAGTGGATGGAAGTGGGTAGATGTGTTCCTTCTAATCGTTTTCGGCAGTTTTTTTGGTGTTCAAACTCGACAGTGGGCCATGGCGGGATACAGCTCAGAGATGGCAACTCCCTTGGGATGGAGGAATTGGGCAAATTTGTTGGCGTATTTGGTGAACTTGGGCTTGACCTATGGATCCTTGACAGGCCTGGGGGGGTTGAGGGTTCTGATAGCTTTAATCTTTTTCAATACATTGTCATGTTGTGGGATGTTTTGGGATGTTTTTGTCTTCCTTTTTGTGGATGTTGTATGTAGTGGGGCAGGGTTCTGCCATGAGGCATTTTCGGCCAAACCAACACGGCTCTGAGCCAAAAGTACCAGACCTTGGTGACTCCAGCGGGCTATGCTTTCTCCATTCGGGGCCCCATCTTCATTTGGGAAGGCATCTTCGCAGTGACACAGATGTTTCCCTCGTTTCGATCCAACAACGTCATCACTTACATGACACCATGGTGGATCGCTGCATGTACCTTCCAATGCTGCTGGACCCTGTGCCTCTGTGGCAAGAGAGGATCAGAATTGCACTATGTGATCGTGGTTTATCATATTTTATCATCCACCATGACTGGCATCACGCTTTCAAAACTCCTCAAACCTGTCAGTATCATCTTGTTATGGGCAATCATCATCATCATCATCATCAAGGAAAGGTAGGGACAGCTGAGTTCCCTCTTTAGGAGCTTCGCCCAAGAGTCAATCTTCATCTCCTTCTGGTGCATGGTCGGCATCTTGCTGTCGCTGCTGGGTGGAATCTATAGAACAGACCTGCAGCCCCACAGCAACAAAGAGTTCTGGCTCTTGCGAGCACCCTTCTCTCTGCATGGAGGTGCGCATCGTGGCAGTCGTGCATAGTGGCATAGTGGTGCTGTTTACATCCTGACAGAATCGGAGCATGCGCGAAATTGCAAGGAACTTCTAGAGAAATATGAGTTGATGTCAGAATGATGTATCGAAGTTGCATGACATGTGGTTTCCATGTATCAATTTTACTCATTTGGGTTCGTTTTGTCTTCGTTTCGTCTTCATTGGTTGTTCAGGTTGGATAGTCGCTGCCAGCGCCGTGAATTTCTGCGTTCTTGCAGATAGGTACCAGGCTTCTCCTGAGGCTGAAACCGACAAAATTGAAACCGGCAGAAGATCAAAAAAAACAATTTCGGAAATTGTTCCTTTGAGTTTTCTTTGAGTGTTCACGATGTTTTCCTTCTTCGAAAAAGATCCTGTCAAAGTCAACGTGGAAACATCATGAAACTGAAACATCATGAAGCATCATGAAACATCATGAAACATCGTGGCATCCATCGTGAAACCAAGACGAGACAAGACATCTCATGACATCTCCATGCGCGATGAATTGGAGGTCATGTTGGCCTTCGCCATGCTTTCCTTCTGCGCCATTTCCAGCATCGTTTGCTTGATGACCTTTGCTGCCCCCCGGGCAGATGCCATCATTGGTTTGGTGGCTTGCTGGGCACTGGCAGGAGACTGCTTGACCATGTCAATATTTTCTTAAACAGCGTTGACAGAAACACGGAAAATATCTCAGTCTATCTCAATTGAGTACAATTGATGGTACAATTGATGGTACAACATCCAACATGGTAAATTGATGGTACAATTGAGTACCAGCAGTATCCCAACAGTATCTCGATGAAACAACATCCAACACAGTGCTCCAGGAGTTCGATCAGAGCTGGTGAAGGCGCGGAAGTTTGGGCTGTCGTAACACACCCGGGTGGGAAGGGTTCGGCAGCTACGGTGAAAGGATGTCATTTTGGTTCAAAGGCTACCGAAAGGTTAACAGTTCCCAGAAAGTTTGTGAAAGGTTCCGGTAAGCTTGAAGGAATCGGCACAAGGATTCTGTTTGCCCAGTTCAAGATGTCAATGTGCGACACAACAGATATTCCATGATATTCCTTTAAGATCCTTTAAGGACTTGTGAAGACACTGCATTCTCGTTCCACACAGGGTCCGTGGTCCGCACATTCGTTGAGGCAGAGAACCTTCGCCGTCCTACCCGCTACAACTTCTACGATTGGCCCGAAGTGGCATCTCGCCGTTGAATTGTGATTTGGGATTTCTTAAAGGGTGATACATCTCCCCAATTTTTTTTAAAGAAAAGTCTTTTTCCCTCAAGGTTTTATAATATTTCGAGGCATAAAATTGGCACATAAGTGTGCTATATATGTCTAATGCCATCTAAATATGCGAATGTGAACATGTCGTTGGCAGCCAGGATGTGTCAGCGGTGCGACTCTGTGCCCTGGTGTTGAGCTTGGTCTGTCTCTTCCTGGCTGTGGTGGCCACCCTGCGGAGGATTGCCCCCAGGCGTGGAACGGATGTCGCAACGGATGTCGCAACCAGAAAAGCTTTGAGAAGCTCTGGAAATTGAAGAGTTAGGATGTGTTGTGATTTTTGAGATGGTCAAACCTTGCCAAACTTGTCAATTGAGTGCAAAGCGGTGAAGGAAATTGAAGATATTGAAGGTGAGAATGGGTTTTACGCACTTTAAGGCACCTTGGTGAAGTGAATTTGGTGATCACCAGTGATCCTTGTGTCATTTCTGAGATTCGCACCAAAGGTATCCCAATGTCCAACATGATCCAACATGATCCAACTGATGTCGATGGAGGAAGTCTGCACCCCTGGATGCCTTCGAGAACCGAGCCCTGCGCGTCTAAGCCGCCGGTCGGTCATTGGACAGGGCGTCTACCAGGGACGCCTCGGCGCTGGGCTCTGCCAGGGAGTCTTGGCCCGTGTCTCTACCCTTGAACTACCCTTGAACCATCGGTCTCTACACGAATCTCCCAGTCTCACGACCTGAAAACATCAGTGCACAGAGAAGTGGCG